TTGAAACTGTTACAGCACCTCCAAGTGATGGGGCATTCTCATTAAAATGAAAAAGGGTGATATTACTCTCAGTATTTGTCTTAAACATTAATAAGTGCATTTTTATTTCTTTATTTTTTAGAGACAGGGTCTCGCTTTGTCACCCAGGCTGGAGTGCGGCAGTGTGATCATAGCTCACTGCAGCCTCAAACTCCTGGCCTCAAGTGATCCTCCTGCCTCAGCCTCCTAAATTGCTGGGATTTCAGGTTCACATCACCATGCCCAGCTAAGTTTTAAAAAAATTTTTGTAGAGATGGGGATCTTGCTATTTTGCACAGGCTGGTCTTGCACTCCTCAAACTCCTGGCCTCAAGCAGTCCTCCCGTGGTGGCCTTCCAAAGTAGTGGGATTACAGGCATGAGCCATCATGCTTGTCCTAATAAATGTATTTTTAATAGGAAGGGTTAATTTATCTCCTCATACTATGTTCTTTTTTTCTATTTCTTTCTCTGTGAATCACTTTTAGTTATAAGACAACTTTCTGAGTATTCTACATAGTAGTAAGTGCATTGGTCAGAATTATTTGAGGGATTTTTCTGTTTATGTCATTATTCATATAAAGGTCACTTTTCAACTTCTGTCTTGTTTGAAGTGGTGATTGTGATTCCTATCAAGTTGTATTTATATTTCTACTTTTGAAGCTAAAACAATAGCTATAATTGCTTATTTAATTTACTTGTATATTGGTGACATATAAATCTTAGTTCCTTATCTGGTGAAATTATGCACAGAAAAATGCATAACAGTACTTTAGGCCTGAGGTACCAAGGTACATTGGCTTTTTAGAGTAGTACCTAAGGTAGGGGGAAAAGAACTAACAGCAATCTTGAATTTCAAAAGAAAAAAAATCAACACTGCATACAGTCAGCATTTGATTATGGAGAAGTTGTGGGAGGAAAAAAAGGAGAAAGATGGAAGCTTTAGGATAGACTTTGCAGTTATTTAGATGCAGATGGTTAGAGTTAAAGGTAGTACAAGATAGATGACCTCCTTCCTCAAACACTGTGTTAAAGAAAAAACTGCTTGTTACTATTGGAACTTAAGAAAGAAAAGCTCTGTCTTCAGGGCATTTAAAAAAATTTGAACAATTGCGTTTCTTTGTTGTAGGTCTTTGGAGAATTGTTAGAACACATTGTATGAATTGAAGTAACTTGCTGACAGAATTTTGAAAAGTATTGCTTACCTTGTAATAAGCTCAAATATCCATCATGCCTCATTGTTCTGTTTACATGTTAAGACAGATTCTGCTGATTAAATTCTGCCCTATACACTGTAGACACTGAGCCATAAGCCTAAGGCCTTAAAATGTATTGAACAGAATTTCCGCTTAGATCAGTTACAAAATGCTGTGACCCATGGGCTTTTATAGATTCATGATTTCCTTTTAAGAAGTATGATGCTTAGGATGCACATCTCTGGTGGTTTTAAGAAATGTAAGCTGGCTTTTTGGGAGGGTGCATCCTTGAGTAGGAAAATGTCTTAAATTGATTTTCTGTGACTATTTCAGTCGGCACTTTGAATTGCTCTTAGGTACCTATTGCCATTACACCCTTGTGGTCGATAACACTTCCTTTTCTTTTGTGGCTTACTTAACAAAATAAAAAAGCTTTCTGTCCATTATTATTTTGGTATGTATATTTTATCTCTGATGCAGCGGAATGACAGATACCGGCTAGATTTTCAGTGGAAGATTATTTGAACTGCCAGAGATACTGACATGACCCAGTCAGTCCAGAACTCACTCCTTGTCTTTACTTCAGACTCAGCTTAAAAAGCAATATTCAGAGAGGCCTCTAAGACCACCCTCCCTAAATAGCAACCCTACATGGCTCTTTTCTCATACCCTGCTTTATTCTTTATTCAAAGCACTTTTCTCTCACCATCTCACACTTTCATGGGAATGCAAGTGCCATAAAAGCAGAAATTTTATTCTGTTCATTGTTGTATTCATTCCCAGAGCCTAGCACAGAGTAGACACCCAGGTTTTTCTGAAGGTATATTGAAGGTTAGAAGTTTGTGCCAGATGCCTGGAGAGAGACAAATACAAATCAAAGATGGATTCAGACCTTCTGTACACCAATAATTATAGCACAGAATTGGTTCTGATAGTATAAGAGAACTGCAAAGAAAATTCTGGAGTAGTTGAGAGTTTTATTAAATCTAGCCAGCTTCTTAAGAAATGACATTTAAGCTGAGTCTTATTTCAGACTAGGGAAACAGATAGGCAGAGGCTGAGAGGTGAGAAAGTGAAGAAGGGTGGTAGGTACAAGAAAAGGTGAAGTACTCACTTTGGCTAGAACATCTTAGTGAAGAGCTAAGAAACTAGTTAGAAAGGTAGGTTAGATCCAGATCAGTGGAAAGCGTTACAGTCCAAACTGAGTTTGGATTTTATCCCATTGCTCTGTGAAAATTGATTATTTTTCCCCTTCTTAAAAGGCAGTTAAATGTGGCAAGATTGGACCTACATAGGAAGAGAGACTTAAGACTGGAATTTAAATTTTAGCAAGAAATTTAAATTAGAAAAATAACATAAAGGTAGGATCGACAACAAATTGTCAACAGATTAACAAACAAACCAGATACAGAGAACAAGGGAAATGAAAGAAACCAAGATGACTCTTCAGGTTTTGAATTTGTGGGAAGTAAGATGACGTGGTCATTAAATACAGAAATAAGGAACAGGAAGAAGGAGCAGATTTGAGTAAAAATTAGTTTAATTCTGAACATGTTGCTTTGAGGTGCTAGCCTTCAAGTGGAGAAATGTGGTAGGCATTTGGAAAGCTCCTGAGGCCTAAGATTTGGGAATTATTTGCAAAGTCGTTTTTGAAACCCTAAGATTGCAAAGGAAGAGAGTACATGGAGAAAGAACAGAAAATAGCAAAGAGCAAACTCTTAGGAAATATCTCTTAAGAGGATGGGGGAAAAGCCAAAAAAGGAACAAAAACAAGTAGGAGAACCAAGAGAGGACAACACTGGTAAAACCAAGGAAAGATATTTTCAGAAAGAAGTAAAATTCAAACCTGTTTCTTCAAAAAGAGCTCTGTTGTAACCTCAGGAGTGTGATATGTATTTTTTCTATCATCTCATGCATTATTCTGCTATACTGTTTAGGATAGTTACACATAGTAGGTTCTAAATAATTTAGTGTACATTAAGGCAATCATAGGCTCTCTGTTACCTATCTTTAAGGATTAACATTTGGCAGAATGTTACATAGATGTCTGAGGTTCAAGCCCCTGATTGTGCAGTCTAGTGTTCTGAAGACTTGAAAGTAAATTCAATGGGATTAATTTGGGCTTTGCAGGTTTTCTGTCAAGCTGTCTGCCTCATATTTCGTTTGGGATATATTCTTGATCTTATCTGTTGTTTTTTCCTCTTTCATAAATATTATAAGTCTTAACCAGCAATAACTGAAGGATCTCAAAGAAAAACAGTTAATAGGGTTTAGGAATTGCTTGAGTGCGAGTATTTTTATCTTACATTTGAGCTATTTGGCATATCAATTATTTTAAACTGTCTTCAAAGAATATTAATATTTATTACTTTTGTAGGTGCCTTTAGAAATCAAACAGGAAACTAGAATGGCAATAGCTTGCTATAAGTGAAAGAAGACAAATACCAAATAACTGAAGCTGATGTGTTGAAAAGCTAATTTAGAAAGATTTTAGCAGCAGTTTACAAAAAAGTCAGAGGTGGAGAAACTTGGTTAATTTGATGCTGCATTTAATCTAAGATATTAATGGTGACCCTTTAGTATAGCATAAAAAAAGAAAAATCTTTCTTTATTAAGGAGGATTTTTAGATAATAATTGATAATGGTTTGACTTGAAATTTTATTGTCCATTTGTATGACAAGAAGACTTCTGGATACATATATACAAATTATTGGGGCAAGGGAACATAGGCAAGTGTAATCTGTAGCTGGTTTAGTGTATAACAGTATCTAAAGTGTGTATATCCTATTTTGGGTGACAATAGCATTAAAGATAATCTGATCAAAGTACATAGCAAAAAGTAGAGACATCATCTGGTGTGTTAAATTGATACTGTGTGGCATCTTTATAATCAGCATCCATTAAACAGATTGTTAGAACTAAGTTAACTAATTGTTGAAAACCGGTAGTAACATACACACTTAGAGAAAGTTTTATGTGGTTTGGATGTTAGCGTTTCATTTTTGGTAAAGGAAGAGGAATCGCTTGGGTAAAATTTACCTCTTTGAGGTCTGATTTAGTGAAAACATTTGTTAGGTCTGGATAGTTAAATAGCTCTTTTTATTGGGAATTTTAATTTATCTTTAATTGGGATAAATTATATGATAAATATATATTTTTAAAAATGCAAAATAGCTTATGCAAAGCTGGAAGTAATATATTAATATTTTGCTAACATTTTATATCTTTTGCAGTTGAGTGGTTATAGCAGTGTACAAGTTCTAATGCTTATTTATTTGTTGAATTCTCTAATCTGTTATCCTAAAAGGGTAGATTTGGTCATGTTAGTTATGCTTAGTTATTAGGCCTTATTAATTTAAGATTAAAAGCTTTAAATATATGACTGTAAACAATTGTTTCTTATTTACACATAACATCTATTCAAACGGAAGAGATAGGAGTTGACCTGGTGAATGCAACAGTATTTCTTCCATTATATTTGCATCTTTCATATGCTGTTAGAGCAAAACAGTTTCTGAAGATTTTCTCTAAACAAAGAATATTACATCACAGAGTATGTAATATTGTCAACAGCACATTCCTTTCTCTCTTCGTCCCCAGTTCTACAAAAATATATACATATCTTTGAATAATACTGACCAGAAAGTATGTTTGAAGAGGTTCTTTCCACAAATGTATTTTAATGTTCATATTAGACATCTTGAATGGTGAATTTGATGCATTTAAAATAAAAATACATTTATATGTTTGTTTAATTATTGCCATCTCTGATCATTTGTAGGCGAAACCTAACCAAACTATCCCTGATCTTCAGCCACATGCTGGCAGAACTAAAAGGAATCTTTCCAAGTGGACTCTTTCAAGGAGACACATTTCGGATTACTAAAGCAGATGCTGCGGAATTTTGGAGAAAAGCTTTTGGAGAAAAGTAAGTCTCAAAATAATGAATATGAACTATGGAAAACTGAAGCTTATGTTGTGAGCTTTTTGTTTAGTTATTAATGAAATATAACATGGGAAAACTTTGAGAAAAATAATGAATATATATTGTACGAATTTCCTAGCTTTGGTAAAATTAACATTTTTTGCCCTACTCGTTTTTTTTTTAAAGAAATAAAGCTTTGCAGATTCAGTTGAAACTCATGCTCTTTGACTGAATACTCTTTCCTTTCTCTCCCCATCTATTCTCCTGTTAATGGACATTTACATTTCAGATTATTTGCTGCCACAAACAGTGCTACTGTGAACAATATCTTAGTTGTCTTCATATGCAAGAATTTCTCCTTAGTTACATACCTAGGAGTGGAATTGCTGAAGGATTTCACATCTTTTACTTTGCTATAAGTATTGCTTAATTGTTTTCCAAAATGGTTGTACCAGTTTATACTCCTCTAAGTAGGATACAAGAGTTTCAGTAGCTCCATGATTTTGCCAATACTGCTAATGCGAATGGGTGTCATTTTGCTTTATATTCTCTCATGACAAGGCAGGCTGAGCATCTTTTCACATTTATGACCAGTCAAGATTCTTATTCTGACTTACCTGTTCCTATGCCTGACTTATCCATTTCCCTAGTGAGTTGTTTGTCCTTTTCTAATTCTTTGTTTGTTACTTACATTACAGATATTTTCTCCCAGTCTGTGGCTTGTCTTTCCATTCTGTTATGTTGTCTTTTATATATCATATAGGCAGATTTATGAGGCAGGCTTATGTTTTTAAGCGTAAATGTAAATGTTCTTTCATATCCTCTAGAATCTTGGGTCAAAGAACTGAAAAGGTTCTTTTCAGTCAAATATAAAACTTTTCAGTTGAATATACAAATTCTAATGTAAGTCTAACTTTAAAGGCCTTTATTTTTTTAAATCATGTTTTGTACATAAAATAAAGACTAAATAGCAATTTTAAAAACCTAATTGAGGAAGATGAGAATAAGTTTAACTTTATACCTTTAACTACATTAGAAAAAACTTCAAGACATCACTTAATCTCTTATTTTTCAGGCAGGTGAATATGTAATCTTTCTAAAGGTAAAGAGATTGTATTTATTTTAAAGATCTTGAGAAACAGAAATTCCATAATACTTCTTGCTGACCTTATCTGGGGTTTAAAGACTCCTACTTTAAATAATTTCTTCTTCATCTCTATCAGAACTCTGTTCTTCCTGTACCTTAATCCTGTTTCCTCTTGTCTGCCTTGGTAGCATAGGTTCCTTAAAGAACAAGGAATGTTTTTCAAGCTTCAAAAAAATTAGCTTAACCAAGCATGGTTGCTCACACCTGGAGTCGCAGCTGCTTGGGATGCTGAGGTAGGAGGATCTCTTGAGTCCAGGGGTTCGAGGTTGCAGTGAGCTATGATCACACCCGTGAACTGCACTGCACCCTGGACAACACAGCGAGACCCCCATCTAAAAAAAAGCTGGTTTAAATACAAGCTGTTAGATAGTAGAAGTCTGGCCACAGGTCACATTTATTATATAAAAAGGATAATCTCATCTCCCTTTTCCATGCTTCTTTGAAAGAACAAATGTCTGAAGAAAGGTTAGAAAGAGGATAATATGGGACATTCTGCCAAAGAACAGTGGGAAAAGACTTCTATGTTAGTAATTTACTCATTAGAAAGTTAAGAAATATATCCCTTACTCTTTTCTTTATATTCTCAACCAAAATACAGCTCAGCCCTTCTTTAAGTGAATTGAAATTGATATTGAGAGCTTAATGTGACTCTCTTCCTTTTCCTTGGTTATAGCAGTGCCTGGAATTATCTCTCTTATCTCACTTTGTGCCTTCTCTCCACCCCCACCTCAGGACAATTGTCCCTTGGAAGAGCTTTCGACAGGCCCTACATGAAGTACATCCCATCAGTTCTGGGCTAGAGGCCATGGCCCTGAAATCCACTATTGATTTAACCTGCAATGATTATATTTCTGTTTTCGAATTTGACATCTTTACACGACTCTTTCAGGTAGGATACTAAAAAAGTTGACTAAACTGTTTACTGCTACTTTTCTAAAGAGAAAGCTTTTATTTAAAAAAAATACTTGGAGTTTTGTGTATTATAAAAGTATTTTAATTCATTTTAGAAACTATAAGCAAAAAAAGATTAAAACTACCCTATATTATATATATATTAAAAATGACTCTACAACCTGCTTTCTTCTCCTCACTTCTTTCTTTGTCATTGAATATTCTTATTTTGCATCATTTTAATGTTTGTAGACTGGCCAAAAAATTGATATAATATATTGTATCAGTTTTCTGGTATTGGACATTCGTGTATGTTTCCCACTTATTTCTCCTATTGTATGGAAATTCTTCACTGTTAATATTGCAGTATATTGTTGTGTCAAAAAGAAATCATTTTCCTTTCTCTAAAAATAATGCTTTCTCTAATGTGTATGTCAACTTGAATAAACATTTGTTTGGAACTTACTAGCTGCATGCACACGTAGGCCCTGTCCTATTTTTCTGTTTGTTTTTCTGCCTCACTACTGTTAGAGCTGCTTTACAATTTCTAGAATTTCATTTTATATATAGTTAAGTTGCTTTACAATTTCTAGAATTTCATTTTATATAGTTAAGTTTCTCCCTGTAAGTATATATTCTTTTCTTCCTAGCTTTTTAAAGTTTTTATTTCCCAAACATGTTTGTCTTCCCTGAGAGTAACAATATAATTAAGAATTGTGACAATGAATTGAGAATTGGAGTTGGTTTTTCTTTTGTTCTTCATTGCTCTGAGGCTGGTTATATGTCTTGAGCTAAATGGCCTGTGGTTGATCTCTTGTTTCTTTAGCCCTGGTCCTCTTTGCTCAGGAATTGGAACAGCCTTGCTGTAACTCATCCTGGTTACATGGCTTTTCTGACGTATGATGAAGTGAAAGCTCGACTCCAGAAATTCATTCACAAACCTGGCAGGTCAGTACCATGAAGCAACGATGCTTCTTCTCCGGAATTTTATTCTCTTGTGACTTCTTCTGCTATAGAAGAAACATGGTTTCTTATTAGTTTCCCAGTGGCCAGGATTCTGCAATAGGATTGGTGTCTGTTTATTAGAGGAATTGACTTATTCAAACCTTATGATTCGATAAATGCTTTTAAGCCACTTAAGATTGGGTTTATGTGTCCTTTGTTCCTGGTCTGGAGTCATTGAAGAAGTTATTCTTGATGGTCCTTTTGATTTTTATCTCTGTCTTGCCTTCTACCCTAATACCAACGTATCCATTAAACCTTCTGTTTTATCTCTGTTCATAGTTACATCTTCCGGCTGAGCTGTACTCGCCTGGGTCAGTGGGCTATTGGGTATGTTACTGCTGATGGGAACATTCTTCAGACAATCCCTCACAATAAACCTCTTTTCCAAGCACTGATAGATGGCTTCAGGGAAGGCTTGTGAGTACCTACTGCTTATCATTTGCTAGAGTCTCGGAACTCAGGGGCTGTTAAACTTCATCATTAATGATTTTATTCCAGGTTTCTTCTACAGATTAAGGTTCAGGAAACATATTAACAGGTTATTTTGATTTGACCTTCAGGTCTTGTAGGACTTTTGTTTTTATCTGATAGGAATTCTGTGAATGAACTCGTTTTTCTCTACTACTTCAATAGAGAAAATAGGTAAACTTTATTTTTCTCCTTTTCCAAATATTAACTCACTTTCAAGTCTATATTAGATTTTAAAACATTACCAATTGGCAGGAAATTTGACCAGTTATTTAACTAGCCAACACTAGAGTGATAAGATGTTCCTAGTGACAGCAGGCCTCCGTGGCCTTCATCCACTCTCACCCTCACTTCATTTTTGTTCAGCAGCCATTTCTTCAGGCTTTGGACTTTTGTAACCTATGCTAATATTTATGATTAATTCCTTATTTATTCCAGAATTGCTATTCCTTTGGGGATTCAAATTGATTATCAGTTGGTAAGCACTAAAACTATTAACAGTTGACCAAGTAGCAGAAAACTAGCTTTTGTTTTAAAGTGGTTAGGAGAATCCATTTTTCATTATGCATCATCTTCTATAGTAGTAGCATTGGATCTGAAAGAGGTGCTGCCCCTAATGTCAGAGCAGTCTGATGCTACAAACTGCAGGTCTCCCTGGTAGATGATCTCATTGGCTTAACTTATATCTTGTTGCAGTACTTTTAAATTGGCGTCTCTCATTTTATTAAACCTATAAACAAAGGTATTTCAGGTCTTTGGTAAAAAGCAAATGCAGTTTAAATTAAGACTTTATATCTTGAGGCCATCCATTGGTTAAAATAGGGATTGGCAAACTATAGCCCATGGGCCAGCTGTTTTGCTACAGTCTGCAAACCAAGATAGTTTTTCCTGAGGGTTTTTAAAAACAACAACCAGAGAAGAATATGTAACATGGACTTACGTGGCCTACAAAGTCTAAACTATTTACTGTTTCTTCATAGAATAAGTTTGCTAACCCCTTGATTAAAAGATAGAGCCTGGGCCGGGCGCGGTGGCTCACGCCTGTAATCCTAGCTCTCTGGGAGGCCGAGGCGGGCGGATTGTTTGAGCTCGGAGTTCAAAACCAACCTGAGCAAGAGCGAGACCCTGTCTCTACTAAAAATAGAAAGAAATTAATTGAACAACTAAAAATACATAGAAAAAATTAGCC